TACTTACTTACAGAGGATGGTGTATTAATCTATCAGGGTTAAAACTCTTTTTGTTGCTGTTCTACCAGATGCTGACAAGCTCTTTGAGCACGACCTCGGCGCCCTGAACATGGCGGCCCTGAACCGGCGGGTGGAGAGGGCAGGTTTACTCAGCAACCTCGGGCCCTGCTGCAAAGCCCTGTGTGCTCGCAGGGACTTCGCCATCCGCCGGCAGCTCTTAAAAAATGAGAAGGTAAATACACRTGCTCAGCTTCATCTGATCTAAAAGTCTGTGTCACAAGTTGATGACGTAAAACCAAACGTTGTGTTATCAGGGCCTAACTAAGCAGTACCCCACGACATCTTTGGTGGACAACGACCTGCTGCAGATGAGCATCCGCCTCTTCAGAAAAACCATGGCTGGCCACAACTCTGTCCCAGAAAGGTCCAGTAGAGGGTCGGCTCCAGCAGCCCAAGTAGCTGAAGCTAATACTAACAACAAGCTAAGCACAGCTCAACCAGAGGTGTGTGCGTCCTGAGAGTAAAACACAGATTTTAAACCTTCTCTCCAACATTGTCTTTTCTCTACCTGTTTTTTTTATTTTTAAACATAAAATTCTTTTAGTCATAAGAAGCAAAACTGTAAGATTTGTATGTCTTATGTCCCGTGAAGTCCTCCATCATTGACTAGTCTGAACATTTGATTCTACAAACAAGATGTAGAAAACATSTGGCTTCAGTTTTTTTGTTTTAATGATTTCACTGAACTAACCAACTTGAAGTGACTGCTTTGGTTTTGTATGTTGTCCTACAACTGTACATTAAAATGGTTAGACGTTGTTATTTTGTTATGGTTCTTTGTTTGAATGTGAAATGAAATGAATGAATTGATGGCGAGATGTTTCTGTTGACATGATTTAACAAATAATACCAGTGTTGTCTGAAGGGACGTGTGTGGACTTTCGTTGTACCTAAAAACACTGCCAAACTATTCTGGAACTTTTAAACTCCTTTTTTTTTTTGGTTTGTTTGTAAATGATTGTTGTGTCATGTTTTGTATTCTGAATGGTTTGGCAGTGTCTCCCTGAAGAGCGAGGAGCACCAGAAGATACACACTGCCATGTGAAGTTTCTGACCTCACGCCAATAATAGGAACCAAAACCTGACAGGAATGATGGCATGCTGCATAGGAAAACAGAACAAAAAAAGAGTCTGGTAAAGCTCCACTGTAGGCTGTTTTTAGGTGGTTTCACACAGACGATTTAAAACGTGCATTCAGTCACTGCTTGGACGAAGAAACCTTTGGATTCAACTGGACTCCTCCTGCATCACCCTTCTGCCCAAAAATCTAAAACCACAAAGACAATGAACCGACTATCTGGTATTCTGACCTCACATCTGAAGGGTTAAACACATTTCTGAATAGACAATTTGATGCAAACTTGATTTGTTGTGGACAAGTGAAAACTTCTGCTTTGACGTTTCATTTTTTCTACTGTAAAATAAAGAGTAACATTCCTAAGCTGTAATGAAGTTTTGACAATTGAGAACCTGAAGAAATAAAAAAAAGGAGCAGAAACAAACTTCAGCAATTTCAGGTTAACTTGACAAATTCTACCAAGTTCTACTTTTCATTGTTGGTGTATATAATTWAAAAACTGAAGTATGGAACCAACAGGGATTTCTCCTGTAAAATATGTAAAAATTCCACCTCATCAGACTGGTGACAATATTACATTTTATTTTTAAAGCATACATTTTTATCCATAATGTCCACAATATCAAGAACATCATGAGCTTAATTTTGAAATACATTTTACCCTTATTGTACAGTATAATAGTACCAATTTAAAACARGACTGCCCTTATAAATGATAAACACATAATCTTATCAATTAAATGGTGATTAATACTTTATAAGCTACTAATAGCAGTTACAGCAGCATCTTTCAGCTGTCGCCACAGATCCTCTGTCTACCTCCATGTCCTCTAACTGCATCCATTTATCTCCTCTTTGTCTTTTTCCTGGCAGCTGCTTCTCTAACATTCTTCTACCAACACTGTCCCTCCTCTGGACATGTCCAAACCAACACTGTCCCTCCTCTGGACATGTCCAAACCAACACTGTCCCTCCTCTGGACATGTCCAAACCATCTCAGTCTGGTCCC